CCAAATTTGTTGACCAATTCCCGAATTTTTTAATTGGAATTTTGTTTACATTACAAGTGATGACTGATACCATGTGTCGGGAAACTTCATTATTTTGGCTCCGCAATATTGCAAATTAACTAAAACTCAATCCTCATCATTTTAATTAGATTTTATCTCAAAATTTTTTATTTCTAAAAAATATAAGTAACTTTTTTTTACCCAAGTTTGTCCACTAAAAACAAACAACTTTTTTTTAACAAGAATTTAAATTTTAATTTCACATTTTTTTTCAAGAATTTAATTACTACTATATATTTAAGAATCAAACTTAGTTCATTGAAAAAATAAAAAGAATACTTAAAAATATTTTATTTAATATAAGGTTATGAAAACCATGCAAGAACAACAATCAAGTTATGTTAGAACATATACAACGTCTGAACCTTAAGGGTGATGCTATAAAAATCATAGTGTCTAAATTGTCATTTAACACATGACAAGCAAGCTAATCTACATATTTATTCATATCTTTAAAAATATGATCAAAAATTACAATCCAATCTTTCATGATAAAATCTTTGATTTGATTGATAATATTTAAGAGGAGATGATTTTAGGTGAAATTGCACACTGAATAAGTATTAATTAGAGTTTCAATAAAGTTAGAATAGATATTGACTTTAATAAATTTATTATTCCAACAAATGTTAAGGTTTTTTTTTCAGATTAAGCAATGTCAAGATAATAACCTATGTATTTAGAAAACTTTAATCTAATTTTCTTAATTATCACAAATAAAACCTCCTTAAGTGGCAAAGACGTTGATGCAATAAAGCTATCAATGTTCAATCTAATCAATCTAATTCAATTAGATTTTAGTGGGTACCATTTGCTTGAGCTTTATCATAATTCAAAAAATTACAATTGAATTTAGATTGTATATTAAGGTCATTGACATGTCTTGTATGCAGGAGAAGGCGATGATATCTTTGACCAGAGGATTTTCCTCAAATAGATATTATGCCTGGAAGATCTTCTTAGAAATATTTTTGTTATTCTTAGGAATTTTGAAAAATTTAGATCCCCAAGCATTTTAAATATTTTAAATTCTTGATATTAAATTAAAAAAAAAAGATGGGACAACTAGGACAGAAAAACATAAAGGTTAATAGTCATTTTACTCATATAATGTCCAACTGATGATAATTTTATCAACGTATCAATAAAAGTAATAAAGTTTTTTTGCCAGCAATAAAATTAAAAAGGTTATATATACATTAGCATATTTAATTTTATTAATAACGATAAAGACTAATGTTGAGATAGATAAAATTAAGAAAATAAAAAAATATAGAAATCAATACCAAAATATGTTTAAAATAGGGGAACCAATATTTATATTTCCTACTAACTAAACACTAACTATATCGACAAAATAATTACATTTCATGGAGGAATTTTATTGAAGGTGCCTAACTGAGCCAATACAAGAGGCAACATTGAGCTGGAACGCAAGTGACTCTATCAGAATCATATTAAAAAAAATATTGAAACATGTTTTGTTTGTCGGATTGTATATGGACTCTCCTATAAACCCCATTTTGTTTACTTGATACAATGAACCCTTACAAATAATATATTCATTCAACCACATATTTGATTACTTTTCGTGTAATTTTATGTTCTGGGCTTCCGTTTTCCAATATATATATATATATCGAATTACCCTCGGATGTTAAATAAAGGTTACTTTTGAGCACTTTGTTGTTTGTTGTATTTTTCACATGAGAACATATCCAACCATTTTGTCTCTTGCATTGTTGCTTTATTGAATTTTTTTTTCACAAAAATATTTCTAGCTAAGACATCTTATTAAATTTTAGGGGTAATTGTAGAAAAGTAGCCCAACTATTTAATGTATTAATTATAAATAACTAATTTAAGTAATATTTTTGGCCAATACCGACGGTGGGAATTTTGAAGCGAAGTCACCCACTGGCCACTTCATATATATATATATATATATATATATATTTCAAAAGGTCAATTTATTACCTAAAAGTAAAAGCAAGGCACAACTGAAAACTCATCACGAAAAAAAACTGATCAATATGATTAAATTTTATTATAATTTATTGTAATGTGGTACAATTGATTTATAAAATTAATTAATAAGATTGTTGTAAATAATTAAAAATCAGGCACTATGGTTTCATGAAAATATAATTACATGCAAAAATCAATAATGAACTTAAAATTATGATTTTCTTAAAAAATTCAAACACTCCTATTACTAGATAAAGTTAATTATAAAACCAAAATCATAGTTTTCTTAAAAATAACCAAATATCTCAATACATATCAAAATTAATTATAAATTTAAATTCATGGTTGTCTTATAAGTTACTATTACTTGTTTGTTAAACCCAGATTTTCAATTATAATTTTTTTAAAAAAATCCAAAAACCATATAAACTTTTTAAAATTATGGTAATTTTGATATGCACAGTGATGTTTATGTTTTTAAAGAAAATCATGTTTTTAGACTCATGATTTATTTTAGCATGTAATGAGCGTTATAAAATTTTTAAGAAAATAATAATTTTAGGTTGATAATTTATTTTGATATATTAGTTATTCCAGAAAATAGTTAAAAATGATTCCATGGTAAAGTTATTTAGAAAAAAAAATCAAGACACTACAAGTAAATTAAGCCCTTGATCTTTCAAAGAATTTCTCATTTAAATTTTATTTGAAGGACTTTGGTACTTTAAATCAAATAATTTTGCCATTCGATCATTCTAAGCAATTTCTCCTACTCCTTACTTTCTTTTCTAAAAAAAAAGGGCTCAAAAGAATCAGATGCCGAGCTACTTGGGCAAAAGGACCAACGGACTAATTAAACCTTCTTGGGCGTACCGATTTTCCTTTGTTTGTTTGTTTGTTATTTTGGCCAGCGACTTGCTCATGCTTTTTCAAAAGTACAATTTATTTCAATATAGAGAAAAACATTAGTCCATCAAAAATAGAATACTAAAGAGAATTATAAGGCCCCACATGCTGTACCATTTTCTTATCTGCGTGCAAGACTCAACCTCGTTGACCCAAAAGACTATGCGCTTGCCTTTTTTTTTTTTGGTTATTCACAATAGACAATCATGTTCCAGCATTGTTGGATATTACTTGTGACTATGTCTCCCAATAAAAAAGAGTATTTATAAAAATATTTATTAAATTATTAACTAACAAAGCCTTCGTATCAATAATGAGCTATGATATTATAACTTTATAAGTGATGGGTCAAATGTTTATCAACTGGATGAACTTTTTATTAATAATTATGCTCTTGTTTTTCTCTCTTTTTTTTTATTGCTCACAGATATTATCATATTGGAGCAACTTAATTTGAGGTATAATCGGGTGTTAAATATTGATATTTCTTTTAATAAAGATTCAAATCTTGTTTATCCTATTGTGAGGAACCAATCTCTTTTGTTAGATCTAACTATTCTCTAGCTAAATCAATTGCATTGTACTGTAGCACACTGGATGTTAGAGTATTAGTATGGCCCATTTTCAAGCCCAGGTAATCATTTATTTATTAGTTTCTAATCTTATGGCTCTTTGATATATTTTTGTATGTATGTAGGGCTACATAAAAGATGAGGCGATATTGAACTTCACTCTAAGTCAAAGTCCGATCTCTTTTATGAAAAAGATTGGGTTAGATAACCTGTAGTTTGATCTTGTTCAGTGATAACCCAAAGATTAACAGGACTGAATTTGGTCCATAGGACTGAAAGATTGGTCCTGTCAGTCCAGTATTCATTTAGTTTTTTTTTCTTTTTATTCTATGAGAAGCAATAATCCATTTCAACATAATAAACTCAATTAACATAGTAAAATCACTTATAATAATAATAAATTCATAATAATTTTCAACAATAAAAAAATATTTCTGTTATAGTCCAAATGATTTAAATTTATCACTTTAACAAAAACAGCACTTAATAAAGTTCAACAACGCCACATTACAACAATAATTTAGAAAATCTTCATACAATCATCTCCTTAGCATCAATAATACTTCAAGCATTTGTCAAAAATAAATTAATTATAATTATAATAAAAAAATTAATAAGATTGGATTAGACCAAGTGGTTCGAATGTCTAGTCTCTTGTCCAGTCCAACCCGAAGAACTAATATGATTTTTTCAGTCTTTTTGATCTTAAAAGACCAGTGTCTATATGAATTAAACAAGATTGAGATTATCTCAGGTTGGACTAAGCTAGACAAGATTAGAAAACTTTTGCTCAGCCCTAGATGTATGTATGGAGAGTATTATTTGAGAAAAAACAACCTCTTAAATGATATTTAAATCTTTTAAGAGATTAATCTCATAATCACCGATTGTGGGGATACTTTGAAAAATTAAAAAAAATTATTTTAATTATTTTAAAATTTTAATCATTATAATCTGTATAAGGATTAAATTTTTAGTTATTTAAAAAATTAGTGCCTGAATTTTAAAATAATTTAAATTTTTATAATTTTTTTAAAATATAGGGACCCATATTTTAAATAATTAATATCATAAAGATTGAATTATATCGAATCAAAGTTTAAAACTAAATTATAACAGAGTTAAAATTATAAAAAATTAAATTTTAATAGGTTAAAATTTATAAATTAAGTTATAATTAGATTAAAATTATAAAAACTAAATAATTAATTTTTTTATAATAAAAAATATTTCACCGCTCAAATTACAATTCTTGCTTTTAGGGGGACGCCGACACTGGGACACCGACACGTTCCATTCTCTCGCCTTCTTTTGGGGCAAAAAATTATGTCCAAGCCAAACCCAAGTTTATTTATTGTGCATTTCAATTTGCGATACATTTGAGCCCAAAATCCAATGTCTTTTTTTTTTTAAAAAAAAAAAGGAAAGCATGAAACCAAGCTCAAAACCAGTCGTCCAGATCAGGCCCCAAGCCCCCGAATCCAAAATTAAATTGTCTTCGTCTGCCACGAGGTTGAACCGGTGCAAGCTTGCGTCTTGTGAGAAAAAGGGGTAGTCGTTGCGGCACTAGCAGGAAAGAATGGCGATGGGCGGTAGCAACCCAGAGGACTTGGCTGTGGGGTGCCTGCTATCGATCAAGACTACCTTAGGCGACGAATTCGAAGCACAGGTTATCACATTTGATCGCTCTTCTAACATCCTCGTACTTCAGGAAGGTTCCAAACCTGGACCTCATCGAAATATTCGCTTATTGAAGGCTAATTATATCAAAGATTTCACGTTTTTGGGTCAAGCAGGGGACCCACTTGATCCAAAGAACTGCTTACTTGACCTTAGTGCTCTCCAAGCTAGGGAAGAAGTAGCAATCAGGTATTTCTTGTGCTGTTCGGATTCAGAAATAATTTCACGTTCAGTATTTAAAGTTTTGTCTTTTATCAATGTTAAGTCTGCATTATTCGTCAAAATAACTTGTGATCCCAAATTATTTTGATTTTAGGCAAGCAGAGGCTGAGGCTGAGAGGATTGGTGTAGGTGTTACCAGTGAGGCACAGAGTATTTTTGATGCTTTGTCTAAAACGTAAGTTCTGTGCCTTTAACTTAGCTTGCAAGGAATTTATAACCGTATTTCCCTAATTAGTGATTCTTGAATTTGAACAATGTGAAATACTTGGTAACACATTGTAAATTATGAGTGTCATTGTGACTTGCAATGCAAACCATAAAATGTTTGTCTTTGACTTAGAGGGAGTGATATAACAAAAGTGCTGTTGTCTGCTTAACTGAACTATTTTTCTCTTTGTTTTAAGCTTCCCTTTTTCTCCCCCTTTACCCTGCATCCTCAGAATTCTGTTGTTTCTTGGATATCTTTTGATTTCCATTAATATTTTCGTTTCCTCCTGCTTTGCTTTTTTTCATGGGTTACACTTACAAAGTGAGATTGTTTCTCACTTTGCTGTAACATGCCTTCAGTGAAGACAATTCATTCCATTTTTTTTTTTTTGAGTGATATTCCCCCTGTCTATTTGTTATATCGTGTTCTTCACTTTTTTTCATTGGATAACCTGTCACAGACTTGCTGATATGCATTATGTCAAGAAAGTTACCGTAACATTAGGTAAATGTGATGTGCGCCTTGGAAGTCCCTTTTTCAATTATTGGAAAATGTGGCTTTTTTGTTGTCAGATTTGGGGGGAGATAGTGGTCCATGGTTGACAGATAGGTCTGTGGATAGAGAAAAGGACCACACAAGCTCTACTCTGTACATGCTAAATATAAGACACAAACTCTACTCTGTACATGCTAAATATAAGCCTACTGATGTAAAGTTCTAGATAATGGATATGTGTATTTTAGAATTAATTCATCATGTTTTTATACCTGAACTTCATTTACTATTAATAGATCAGTGAGGTTGATTTAACAGTTGTCGTTTTGCAAAATTCCAGCTCCTGACCTTAAATACTGAGTTATGTCAGATGCTGTTGTCGAACATTCTTGATGTGATTTTAGTCTCTCCTTGTCTTGCAGTTGTATTGCATTTAGATATGCTCCACTCATATAAATATGAAATTACAAGATTAATAAAAGGCAAACGTACAAACTTCCTGCATCATTAGTTCAGAGTTCGAGGCTATTTTGAAATTAAACTATGCAGGCATTTGATGGTTAGATGCTGCAACTGTATTTCATACATATGGCCTTGACCATGGATCTATATGTTAAATTAGTGGAGATAGTTTTTTTTTTTTTTTTTGGGTGAGCAATTGTTGTAGGTAGTTAGAACTTTGAATTCAAACTGGTTGCTTTTTGAACTTTTGGACTTCTATATTACTTTGAATTTCAGTTTGTAAATGGATTTCAAGTTTAAATATCTATTACTCCGTGTATAGTTTCTCTACTAAAATCCATTAAATTTTCTTGGTTTTGTTTTCTGGAAATTATTGCTAATGATTCACATTTAGTTTTTGTTTTAAACTTTTAATGGTTGACATAAACATGTGATCAGGCTTCCGGTTCGCTGGGACAAGACTGTCATAGTTGTGATGAATGAGGTGTGCGTTAGCAGCCCTTATCTCCCGGAATCTGTAAGTGGAGGGACTCCAGCTGCAAGAGAGCGGGTGAAGAAAGTGGTAAGATGTTCACATGATACCACGACATTTGTTATTGACCGGATTTTTGATATGCCATCAGCATAATGAAATGTTTGCATTAATGGCACAAAAGTATTCATAAAGATTGTATACAGTGCATGCATCATGCTTACCTTGGTGGATCCTCATTCCTCCTTATATTGTTTAGTTTCTCTGGAAAAATACTTAGAAGCAGCAAAATGAGATGTTAAAACTTAAATCAGAAAACTTATGTTTTCTTTATTTGATGTTAATTAATTACATTAGAATTTCTTTCACATCATATTTTGGACGTTGCAGTTCAAATTTTAAAGTTCTTATAGGCTATTTAAAGTGTTGTGTAACGTTTGATATGGGCATTCAACTTGTATTAGACACAAACATAGCCTCAAGTTCTGATAGTTAAACACATGATTCCTTAAACTTGAATTGGTTTTTTGAAAGAAATATATGTACTTGCTGCTGATTTTTGTCTCTTTTAACAATAAGACTGTCCAGAGAACAATGATATATCAGTTCTTGGTAGATGATAACTGTCTTAGAAAGTAAACTGCTGTCAATTTCTGAAGACACTTTTATGAGAAACTTCTATCTGCCATATTTCTGAGAATTGATAACAATTTCATGCTCCCAATGCAGCTCGAGCTGGAGAGGAAAAGATTGCAACTACGCAGTACCAGCGGTCAGTGACAGCGAGGTTCCACATTTGCATGTCATTGCAATATGAAGTAAAATCCAAGGAGTAAACATGTTGAATATCTTGCTATTAGCAAAGCCATAACACATCAGGAGGATTTTGCAGTGCATGTTGGGGATTACAGATGAAGAATCCTTGGGCTCTCGAGTTTTGTGTTGCTTTGGGACTTCAGTTTGAGGTAGTGCCTCTAGTTTCCTCATTACAATGAATGCTAAACAGGAATCTACTATCTCTTAGAACCCCAAGTAGGTAGTGGGTTTAAGTTGCAGGTTTATCATTGTGAAGAATAATTTGACATGAGCCCCAAAATGAGTTAAGATCTTTTATATAAAACAGCAAATAGTTTGGATATATTCAGCCAACCATACTCTTCTTCCGAGGACTTGTCAAGTTACTGTTTATCAACAATTCCATGATATATTAATTTCTAAACTTTGTTGAGATACGGTAGAACTTGATATGGTAGAATTTGATTGCATAAGGAGCTCGGGGGTTGTAGTTCTTGGTTTTTTTTTTTGGGTCAATGAAAAGCTCAGGTGAGTGTGGTCTCAGAGTCTCATAGTAAGCAAGCCTTAGCTTGAAAACTTCATATAGAGTTATTTATATATTACCCATCAAGGAACCACTGAAATTCTGACATAGACAACAAAATTTAAACATGGAGAATTATATTTAAGTCCCATGTGACACAATTAAATATCACAAGGTTTATTGACAAATGATAAGCATAGCACAATGACAAAATTAGTTGCCATTTTGTTATGCTTAATTGTTAAGGGGTCTTGTGGTATTTAATTGTGTTGTGGAGGATTTGGGTGTAATTCTCCCATTTAAAAACATACTCCATACTCTTACCAGGTATGAGTTGTATAATCAATTGGGTCATCTCTAAGGATCTTAGACTTTGTTTGTCCAATCAAAACAAGATGGTACAAGAAAATACTTATAAAGATACTTACATATCATTCTTCAGAATTTAAAGGCTTATATTATACTTCTATGAGTTGTATCCTTGTCAACTAGGTTAATCTTACTGAGTCTTGGTCTTTCTGGCTTTTGTCAATCAAAACAAGGTGGCTTAGGATGATCTGTTTTGGATTTATGTTGGAATTTTTTTTTCAAGATTTATTTGTGGATTTATTGTTGTGCATATCAATTCCAAGAGGAAAACAATGGTAAGAAAGATGATAAAAGTTTGCCTCCCACTTGGGCACATGAGTTACAAGGCCAAACAAAAAACTTGTAGCCTTTGGAGTTTAAGAATGTACCCATAAACCAAGGCACCCTCCAGCTCTCGTTTGATTAATATCGGCAAAGGAAACACTTGAGTACTTAATGTTATATACTTGATATATTTTTGTCTAATTACATCAAAATAAATAAATTTTAAAGTATTAATAAATAATAACATTAATAATAAGATTTTATTATAGAGTAAATGATATATAAAAGATTTACATGTATGGATTTGATTTTAAACAAGCATTATATATATAATGTAAGTATGCAAGATTCTATACTAAAAGTTATTATATCACGAAAGACAAGGTAGAATCTTTGGCAATTGGAAACCTAATTTGTCCGGCAAATATAAGGTTCTCAACCTCTGAAGAAATTATTTATAAAATACTTATGTAAAATAATTTTGAAAACATTAACTATTACATTTATGACTTCAATAACTTAAGGATCTTTTTTCTTACAAAAAAAAAAATCTAGCTTTAACCATTGCTTTAAGGACTGAATTAGACGTCTCTCTACCAACTTAGTTTGGATCAGACTATTTTCATGGTTAAACCGGAGTAGTTTTTGGAAAAATATACAAGTCTACATGTGATATAAAAAAGGATAAAAAAACTAGAGAAGTATAAAAATTAGATCCTTCTAAAATTTAAATTTATTTTTGAATTCTTTACATGTATATATTATGAGTTGAAATTATATATATATATATATATATATTTTTAGCATACTCATGCTTCATATAACCAAGATCTACCTATGTATAATAAGTTAAAAAAATTATAACTCATAATTATGTTGTGCTATTTTGTTAAAAGCTAAACATATCATGAATATATATGTGTGTATTACATGTATTTAATATTATTTTTTATTTAATTATTATTTTACCATTTGGACCACTGATGTTATTGGTTATAAAAATTGTCCCTAACATTTTTGATTGAAGTTGCCTCTCACTTTTAAAAACATTGGCTTCGGCCTTGACAAGGTGCTGTTAGACTAGAAGTAGATGGATCATCTAGATGTAATAGAGTAGCACTTGTAGAGGTTGCATAACTGATGATAATGGGCAATGGATAGTGGGTTTTTGTTGTAAACTTGGTAACTATCCATCAACCACCGCCGAATTGCTGGGTATATATGAAGGCTTGCAACTTTGCTGGTCTAAGGAATTTAGTAGTATTGAGATATACTCGGATAGTATTGAAGCTATTAATCTTTTGACAAGAGGACATAATGAAGATCACCCCTACCATGAAGTCATTCAAACTGCTTGTAATTTGCTCCTTAAAAATTAGTTTGTTTCTATTAACTTTGTTTCTAGAGATATCATTAGTCATGCCCACAACCTTGCTAAAGAAGCGCATTTTTGGAGAGCACTTTTTGTATTGTGATCATTTTCTGCCTTTTATTAGGATAAGCTGAGAATGATGATTGATTGCTCTCTTGTGGCTGTCTCTTTTGTTTCTCTGTAATGCTTCTTTTTTCAATTTATGAATGATTTTCAGTTTTTATTAAAAAAAAAAAACTTGGCTTCAACTTTTTCGTGAGAATAGACTTTTTTTTTAGTGATATCTTTTTTTTCCTTTTAGCCAAATTTTAGTGAATTTTTTTTTTTTTGGTTGTAGGTGCTTCTGGATATAATGGTTAAATCCAAGGAGAAATAACGCAAGGGAAATGACAAATTTTGCATCTCATTTTGACACATAATTTAAGCCTAAACTCAAATTGTTTCTTTCAAATCAAACTAACTATGCGACATTATATTATATATGACCGTTAAGATTGGTCCCAGTAACCAAAAACGCCATGTTTTTCCCCCTTTAATGACGAATTGTTATATTAAATATTAAATATCAGATTGAGCATTGTGGAACTCAAATAAAAAAAAAAAAAAATCATATCCGTCATCTTTGTGTAACCCCACTTTCATCTGATTAAATACAAGGTGGTCTTTGGTAAACACAATCTCGTGTCCATTTGATGCAGGCCATGTTTGAAGAATTAAAAAAAAAAATCTACCTATTTCAAAATTCTAATTCAATAGTATTTAATAATTGTTTTATCTAACAATATTTAATAGTTAAGCAGTAATCTTACATATAATAATTAACTGAACAGATTCCTTTTGTTTCAAATATAAGATATTTCTACCTAATGAAGATTTGTCTACTAAATATCAATGGAAAAGAATATTATAGATAAATATTTAACTAATTCTTGCTTTGCATAACTAGCTGGTATCTAATATTAATTTATTAAATTCAAGAATTGTCAAGCTTAATTGGTGATTGATTTTTTAAATATGGTTTTTTACCAACAAAGTTTGAAAAATCAGTGTTATTCAAGATATATTGAATCACGTGCCAGTTTGTTTTAAATAAAAAAAATGATTTTCATTAAGTTTAACATTTGAGTTGTAGAGAGAACATTAAGCTAATCATAAAAATTTTGTTGGAAAAAAAATTATCTTCTTTTTGAGAAGATATTCCAAATAGATTGTCAAAATAAGTTTTTGCCAACACATCCTTTATGTATTTAACTTAAATTCTCCCAACAACTCTTTCAAATATTTAGATAAACTAAAATTACATTTTTTAATGTTAAACAAACCCGTTTAGGCTCAACTCAACCATAGCTGATTAAAAATTCATTTTTATATGTTTAGTTTTTATTTAATATTAATTTAACATGTATCTATTTTCAAAATTTTAAAAAATAAAGTTAAAGGGTATTATTCCTCCCCAAATAGTTCATAAGGAGTAATATTGTACATGCTAAACAATTTATTAGAGCAATATTACCTCTTAAATGTTAAAATCATTTCAATGTGCCTATTACTTAACAGGTATTAATGTTAGCTATTAACTTTAGATTAATTTTGGAGAAAACATAGCTTTCGATTCTTGCATTTTGCTCACGCTTTGCTTTTGGTTCTTGCACTTTTTTTTTGTATTTTAGGCCCCTATACTTTTATTTTTTATTGTTTTAGGTCCCTCCAAGGTCTCTATACTTTGTTTATGGATGGACTTAAAACAATGAAAAATAAAAGTGTAGGGACCTACAATATCAAAAAAAAAAGTGCAGAGACTAATAACAAAACACGAGCAAAGTGCAAGAAGAAAAAATTATGTTTTCACTTAATTTTGAGTTAAAAGACATTTTTGCCTTTAAAGGGTTCATGAAAAAGTAAGGGAGAATCACACTAAGGGCCTATTGAAGCAACAAAATTGTAAATAAAGCCCAATAGAATATGAAATTATTCTAAGGGCTCAAAGGTCTCCCTCTTCCTTCTTCATCCTCCTCACTCTTCCCTCTCCCTTCAGCTAGAATCATCATCTTCAAAGCTTTAGGATGTGGTGTATTCACTATATGCTCGTGCCTTCACTGTATTTATGGGATTGCAAAAGTTGGGTTTGGAAAAGTCGATCGTTGAAATTTTCTATAGACATCAAAGGGTACATAGTTGGAGGGAATAAAGTTTAGATGATTGGATTCAACAAGCTCCTTCATGGTAGGCATCATTCCCATCCTCTCACGATTCTCTTTTGGGTTTGGATTGAAGAAACCAAAATTAAAAAAAGTTCAAATGGATTCAGGAAACCCTACATCATGGTAAATACATTAATTCATGCTGAATCTATAATTTGCATTCTACACATGGTGAATTCTTTTTATTTAAATCTACCCAGGTGCCTAAATGGACTTTGTGTTGTGAAAACTATAATGTAGTGTTGTGAAAATGTGAAGGTTGTGTTGTTAATATTGGTGTTCAACTATATATATATATATATATATATATTATAATGGTTGATTGTTCTTTAGACTCTATAGTTTTGATTTAATTTTGATATAACCTGACTTGGTTGCTAATCTAACCTGAGTTTTTTGCTAAACGCTAATTTGGTAGTAGATTATTTGTTATGAAATCATGATGGTTTACTTGTTCATATTAAATGTTCACATGTAAATTGGGGATTTCATGACCTATCCATTATTGTAAAAATGCCCTATTAGAAACATTGGATTTTGTGTTATGAAAATATGAATGTTGTCTTGTTTATATTGAATGTTCAGTTGTAAAAAATAAAAGTTGGGTTTTTATATGTAGACATATACTTGTAAATATATGAACCCACAGTCATCACTATAAGAACTTTTTGTTATTAGTATGTGAACTTGTAGTTGGTAAAATC